AGATAACCTATGATTATTTATATTTTGAAGTAAATTAAAATATAAAATAAAACCAAATTTTACTTACGATATTAAAAATTTATTGAGTTTAAAAATTAAATAAATTCAAGCAGAAAATAAGATATTACATAAAGTACACAAATTATTTATAAGGTAAGAAAAAAATTAAATAATCAGTAAAAATAATTTAATAACAAGAATAATAAAGTCATATTACTATTGATAAATCGGGCAAATGAATATTTTATACGTAAATGTTACAATGGCATTTCGATATAATGTGTTCAAATAATTAAGAAAATATTTCTGTATGATTAATATCTGAATTGAGTGCAGTTAATTTAAGCTTAAAATCATAGCATAATTTTTTTGAAAATGCTGTTTAATTTAGAAAATAGAATGATAAAAAATTATTTGAATTTGAGATGAGAACGTTATATAATTTTTATTTATGTTATATTAGAATTAGTGTGGTAGAAATAAATACTAAATTCAAACAAGCTAATAAAAATTCACATGACAATGTAATAATATTAGGTATTGAATAATATAATATCAAAAATAAAGAATAAATAAGAGAAAAAATAAAATTTCAAATTTTTTATCATGGTGAAAAAGGGTAAAACTTATTTAAATTTGATATGGGAAAGTTTTTTATATTATGATAAAAGAAGCCATAATATGGATAAGACCACGTAACTCAAGTCTAATATGTAAAATCAAAAACTAAAAATATTGAATAATAAAAATAAATTAGATATAATGTGAGGATATTTATTAATCTTAAGTTTAGAAAATAAAATAAAGTAAATATACTATACTTAAAAATATTATTAAAATTTAAATAATTTAAAAATTCCAGGCGATATTTCAAAAAGAAATAAATATTTATTTTATGATTGCCAAATATTATATATTTATCTATATTATATTAAAGAATAATCTATCTATATTATATTCAAAGGAGGGTAGTGAAGCATGAGGTTAAGTCAAGTGGCAAACTAAAATGACACCACTTGGCAATTTTTAGGACATTAATAATTAAAAATTATAAATAAAAATATAATTAATGAAAGCTGTTTAATGAATCTTATACATAATCTAAATAGATCTTAGACAAGTCTAATATATATATTTATATTTATATGTATATTTGTATCTATATATTGATCCACTCATAGATTTTTCTTCTATATTAGCTAGAAATATGGAGGTAAAAAAGTTAATTAAAAATATAATAGAAAAAAAATATAGAGATACGTAAATTGAGATAACCTATGACTATTTATATTTTTGAGTAAGTTAAAATATAAAATAAAATTAAAATTTACTTAAGATATTAAAGATTTATTGACTTTAAAATTTAATAAATTCAAGCAGCAAAATAAGATCTTATATAAAGTATACAAATTATTTATAAGGTAAAAAATTGAAGAATCATTAAAAAAATATTTTAATAACAAGAATAATAAAGTGATATTAATATTGATAAATCAGTACGTAAATATTACTATAACATTTAGATATAATGTTCACATAATTAAGAAAATATTTTGTATGATTAATATTTGAATTGAGTGCAGTTACTTTAAGTTTGAAAGTATAACATAATTTTTTGAAAATGCGGTCCAATTTAGAAAATAGAATGATAAAAAATATTTGAATTTGAGATGAGAAAGTTATTTAATTTTAATCTATATTATATTAGAATGAGTGTGATAGAAATATATATTAAATTCGAACAAGCTAATAAAAAATTACATGACAATGTAATAATATTAGGAATTGAATAATACAATATCAACAAAAGACTAAATAGAGAAAAAATAAAAATTCAGTTTTTTTTATCATAGAGAAAAAGGGTAAAACTAATTTAAATTTGAGATAAGAAAGTCTTTTATATTGTGATAAAAAAAGTCATACTATGGGTAAGTCCACACAACTCAAGTCTAATATACAAAATCAAAAACTAAAAATATTAAATAATAAAAATAATTAGAGATAATGTGAGGATATTTATAAACCATAAGTTTAGAAAATAAAATAAAGTAAATATACAGTACTTAAAAATATTATTTAAATTTAAATAATTTAAAATTTTCAAGCAATATTTTTAAATCAAAATAAATATTTATTTTATGATTAAAAAATTATATAGTTATTTATATTATATTAAAGAATAGTAGTTGATAATGATATTAAATAAAGTTACAAGCTAATGAAAAGCGACATAAAACGTAATAAGACTATATATCAGATTAAAAAAATAGCAAAATTACGTTAAATTATTAAAAATTTACTATTCAAAATGAAAGGGAAAGATTATTTGAGATTAGAAAGTTCTTAAAACTATGATGAGAATGCTCAAACTATAGATAATACCACAAAATGAAGTCTTATTTATGAAAATAAAATAAAATAATAAAAAATAAAATTTAAAAATAAAAAATAAATTTCTATATAGGTAATTTTACTAATAAAAATTAAAAATTAAATTTGTATTTTAAAACTAAAAAAGAAAGAAAATTTACATAAAGAAATAATATGACAATGAAAATATCGCTACAACATTCAGAAATAATATGTTCAAAATAATTAAGAAAAATTTAGAAAAAGGAATATAAATAAATACCAAATAACAACCAGCACAAAGTTTACCATGGTCTGGCCTTGGTTCCCTTTGAATTGAATGCTCCCAATGTCCCCATTCACTTCGTATCTATTTACACAAAGAAGGAGGTGTTAAGTGGTAAATTTTACACTACGTGGTTGCGTACTAATTATTGAAATATATTGTTACAAATTACAAGTAAATAAAAGGTCAACACTAACGTAAGGTCGTGATATTAATGAGACAATATAAGCTAATTTATAAGGTTTTGAATAATATTATCAATTTATCATGCGGCATAATATATCCTTTTTCTGCTGTCAATTTGATGTTTTCTCAAAATATTCCCTTCCAGAAATTTTATGAGAAGAAATTTCAAAAAGATTTAAAGGACACCTACCTTAGCAACTTTAAGAACCATGGTCGTGACACAAAAGACCACATGTGTGAGCGCCAACACAAATACGAAAATGTGCAGATCATGCAATGCCTCCAACGATAAAAATGGAACTTGTCCCTACACCAAAAGATCAATAACATTATTAAATAATTAATTAGTGTTAGAATATGTGCGATATGCTGATAATTTAATATTAATCTTGTAAAATTTTGATCGATGATATAATATTATTTAAGAATTATTATTTTATTATTTAATATAGTGTGCAGAAATACAATAAAAATTTAATATAGAATCAAAGGATACACATCATATAGTAATAAAATAAATTATTTGTTCCTTATTTATTCTTTATTAAAATAGCAAGTACTAAGTATTATACATTTACTAATGTGACTTTTTATTAACTTGCCAATTGGCATAATATTTTGATACTACTTCTCTTCTAATATAACATATATATATATATTTTCTTGCTTTGAAAATAATTTATTTTTTAAAAATGTATGTTATACTGTTCATAAGTCTTCAACGGTCTAAAATTATTAATAATTTTTTTGAGTATTATTTATTTATTTATATTTTATTTAATTTTTAATTAATTTAAAATATAAATACCATCAAATTATTTTTATCCCCTTCATTTCGAACAAACTTTTCTACTGTGTAATATCTGATTAATTTTTTCATTTGTAATTTATCTATTTATACTTTTGATAAATTCAAAATTATAATTTAGTAAAAAATATTACGTTACTTAAGAAATATATTTAGTATATACATTTGTATGCTATCACTTGAATTATTTTTAGTATTCTTCCTTTATAATTATTTGTTTATTATGATTTTAGCCATGTGTATATATACGACTTTTCTGATAATAATTTTAATTATAAGTGTTATATTTTTATATTTTTCACAAATTTAATTTTTTTTTATTTTTTGTTCCTTCCCTATTTAATTAAATTATCAATTATTTAATATTATTAAATTATCATATAATTTTATAATAAATTTCCAGTTTAATACAATACAATGAATATAATTTTGTATTACTCTTGAAATTTAACTTGACTTTATCCTGTATGACTTTCTCATAATTATTTTGGTATTTAAATTTATCAATACTATTTTCGAGTATTATTTTTTTGTTTAATTAAAAATAAATTTAAGTTTGGATAAAATCACATTATGTTTATTCTCCTCTTAATATATTAGTTTTTGTCCTAAATTTTTTTGATTGTTTTCATTTAGTTTCTATATATAATACAATTATTACAACTTTTCTAAATGGATGGTGTTGAATTACTTGTTAACTAAACTATCTAATTTGTCCTAAAAGTTGACACTTATTGAATTTTTTGTTGTGACACTTGGCATCATCATATTGATTTGCTTCTCCTAATCTATATAGATAGAGATATTAGTCATGTCAAAAGTGTGATCTAATTTATTTGAGCACGTTAGATCATGTTTTAATAAAATTATAATTATCATCTTATATCTATTATCCTCTTTATACATTAATTTTTCTTTTACAATATTTTGATTTTTTTCGTTATGTATATCTATGACAAGGTGGATTGCTCTGATGGTAAACACCCTTCACTTCCAACCAAGAGGTTGTGAGTTCGAGTCACCTCAAGAACAAGTTGGGGAGTTCTTGGAGGGAAGGATGCCGAGAGCCTCTCTACCCCAGGGTAGAGGTAAGGTTTGCGTACACACTACCCTCCCCAGACCCCACTAGTGAGATTATACTGGGTTGTTGTTGTTGTCGTCATTCTATTTATCAATAATATGAATATTATTGTATTATTTTTCTAAATGGATGGTGTTGAATTGTTTCAAAGGTTAAACAAAGAAGTTCTTTTAATATAGTCATAAATCTTAGAATTTTATTCCACTGCTCAGAATTATTTTATTACTTGAAATTATCAATATATTTTTGAGTATTATTTTGATAGTTTATTCTATTTCTTAAGTTAATTAACAGTATAATTAGCCTCACACTATCTCTATTTTCATCTCTTTATATATTATTGTACATTTTATAATATTTTAATTTGCTTTTTTCGGATCGTATTGTACTATAACTCAAAGAATGATATATTTTATTCTAAATTTTAAGGACTACTATCCATTCAATTTGAATTTTTAGTTTCCTATTTTTATTTATTTTTTTTTAATTTTATTTTAAAACAATTTTAAAACTTCAACTTGAAAGTACTCCATAATTTGAATGGGTAGTGTACCAACCCGATCGGTCGTTTTGAGCTCTAGCGCGTCGTTCAACAGTTTGAGGCTATGAGTAGTTTCACTTCAGGTATTATGACTTGTACGCATGGTCGAAAATGAATTCCGGAAAGTTCGGAGTTGATTTGGAAAGAGAATTCTCATTTCAGAAGCTTTAAGTTGGAAGAATTGATTAAGATTGGATTTTTGAGTAAACGATCTGGGAATCGGGATTTGAAGGTTCCAACAGGTTCATATGATGATTTCAGACTTGGGCGTATGTCCGGATCGGGTTTTGGAAGACCCGGGAGCGTTTCAGCACCTATTGTGGAAGTTAGCATTTTTGGAAGAATTTCATGAGTTTGAGTTGAAGTGTATTTCAGTATTACCGATGTCCGTTTGAGATTCCAAGTCTGGTAATAGCTCCATATGGTGATTTTGGTATTGGGAGCACGATCGGAAGTGAATTCGGAGGTCCGTAGGCCATTTTGGAGTCATTAAGACTCAGGTTAGGACAGTGGAAGGTGACTCTGAGGATTTTCCGGTTGTTATGGGGTTACACCAAGGTTCTGCGCTCAGTCCGTTCCTATTCGCCCTGGTGATGGATGCGTTAACACATCACATTCAAGGGGATGTGCCATGGTGTATGCTATTCGCTGATGACATAATTCTAATTGATGAGACGCGAACCGGTGTTAACGAGAAGCTGGAGGTTTGGAGACAAGCTCTTGAATCTAAGGGTTTCAAGCTTAGCAGGACAAAGACGAAATACCTGGAGTGTAAGTTCAGCGCTGAGCAGAGGGAAGTGGGCGTGGATGTGAGGCTTGAATAACATGTCATCCAAAGTAGAGACAACTTCAAGTACCTTGGGTCGGTTATCCAGGGGGGAGGGGAGATTGACGAGGATGTTACGCACCGTATCGGGGTAGGATGGATGAAGTGGAGGTTAGCATCTGGAGTA